ACACTAAGTCGCCACCACGAGGAGGAACAGCACGCCACGCCTCTCGCGGTTTAGCACAATTAGTCTTGTCATCCCCCCTCCCCAACCCCCTTAGACACGTTCAGCACCCCATGGCCGTCAACGCTGCCTATGGTGTCATCGCCCATCCCAATCTCAAAAGGCGCAATCCATTCGATTTTCGACAAAAGCCACAGTAATCAAAGCTTGCGTGCCTTAGCCGTTCCCTAACAGTACAATGATGTGCAAACTGCGCTGATCAAAATGGTCAATCTCCGAGTGCGAGGCGCAGTCAGACTACCACAAATTAGTTGCTGGCTCGGTCAATCACAGGTTATAACAACGCAAATACTCACGCTGATCATCGCCTAGAACCATGTCGTTATTGGCGATTACGTTAATGGGTTAGGAAGATGTCCTGAGTCGTGGATGTGGACGCTATATACCGCGTCCTACATCTCCTATCTTGGCTTGCGCAATCATGGTAGGCAGTTCGACGTGGTGCTATGCTATTGAGAAATGTAGCCTCGCAGGATTGACGTGCATATCGTAGCTAGGCTGTGCTCAGTGGTTTCCTTCGATATCTGCGGGTTTATAGATAATGCGCACTTGCCCTCACTCATCACTTCTCGTAACATGGTGTCCGCGCGAACTGGCAGAAGCACAGATCCTAAAGGCAATGGAAAAAATATTACAGCCTCAGTCAAACTTGACGCATCACCAGATATGTAGATGATGTATACTGCAATATAGCTCTCCAGCCGCTCATTCCCTGGTGTTCGCATTCTACTACGCGCAGTCCAAATACAGTGGCGACATATCAACCAACCACGAATTTGGCATAGCTTGATCCTGTTGCTCAAGTCTTGTTTTGCACTCGAGTATCCCAATTTGCCATCAGTTCTTCTATCGCATCCAAGAGGTCCTATCTTATCTCTCTTTCTATCTTTCTCACACGTGGTCAGAATCACCTGAATGTGCTTCCTTCCCCCTGCTCCAGGTGCCTCCGGCTCCCAGTAGGGTGACCCTCGACCGACCGTTCGCACTTACGTCCATCAG